TTTTAATTATGGCAGAAATTGTAATCCACACACTGAGTCCTTTTATAAAGACAATGGTAACACTCATTTTCACTTAGCACTTGCATTAATATCAGGCAAGTTGGCAGGTGAAGTAGCACCGGCCTGAATTCATGGCAAAAATATCAGGCAAGTTGTGGGTACTAAGGTCCAGACATAACAATCCAATTTCATCATACATTCTATTTGATCACTATCAACCTTCTCCATTCCTTTTTCTTTCTCTCAACATTAAACCCACTAATTGGATTTGCCATATGCACTTGTTGGCACAAAGCAAAAAGCGTTGCGGCCTCGGCTGAAGCATGATGCATGCTTCTTGTCACCTTTTCTTGCCTAACATGTGGGTTTGCCCAACTTAGGATAAATTCAATTCAACAAAAGAAAAACATCATCTGCAACTATTTCTCACAATCCTTTTCTTTCCTGTCATATGAGCCGCAATTTGTACACAACACACCCCATATGTCTCTCTACTCTAAAAACATACCCACAACAAGTGGAATCTTTCATTTCCATTAATTTTGAGTGGTTCTTAATTTCTGCCTCTTTTATGGTAAATTTTATAACACGTTGCTTGTGGGGAAATTAACATTTCACTCCTCTAATTTTATGTTAGGTTTAAGTCGCTCTTTTCATTTTATTTTATTTTATTTTAATTTCTAAACTTTTTTTTAATTATTAGTGAAAATATCGACTAACTTTATCAATGACTAATTTATATCAAAGTTATAAAAAGTGATATTGTTATAATAAAAATGGCTTAATATTCCTTATGTTTGTATTTTTTTTTATACAAAATGTCTTCTATTTCTAAAATCTAAATAAAACTCATATAGTATATTAGGTTTCAAGACAAAGACTTTTTCCTAATACTGTTTTCTCTGTTTTTGCCTCTTTGAACCCTTGTGTCATATAATCACAAAGGAAGAGAGAATATAGGAATGATAATGGGGTGAGTCCCATTTTTAGCATATACCAACTCATGGTCACATCATATTTAACATGTAACCTACGTAAAATATTAAGTAACCATCAGAATCCACATCTTCCTTTGTTAAGTGACTCCTCCTTAAACGCTCAACCTTAAATAACTACAAACACACCAAAGCAAGGTAAGCTAGCTAATACATCAGCACTGAGATCCATACAACAATCTTTGTCCAAGTAATTAAAAACACCACGTACACTACCTCATTGTCACCTACAGCTCACTTCTCTAATCCAACCTCATTAATAAAGACCATGCCGCATCACAACCGTCCCACTAGTCCCTACACAATATATGTTATTGTACAAAAATTATATATAGGTATATAAAATAGATTTATACTTATATATATATATATATATTATATTTTGTAATAATATTTTTTTGTGTATCGTTATATATAACATTCTTTATAGTGAAGTCACTGTCAACCCAACTATCAATATAAATAGGGATGACAATGGGTAGAATCCTATAGTACTCGTCCCCATACCCACATTTAAAAATAATACCCGTACCTAATTCTATATTCACATGGGTAGCAATTTTAATTTTCACCGCCATGCACAGTGGGTATCTGTGACTATGTACTCCTATCTGCACCTGTAACCCGCATTTTACTTATGTATAAAGTAAATAAATCAATAAAAAAAATTACATTTCACACAAGCAAACATAATATTAATTTGTCATGTCTTTAACATTATAAAAATTTAACATAACTATTCTTATAAATAAATATTACAAAACATTCAATTCTTGTAAATTTTTTTTTAAAAAAATTAACATAATAAAAGTTGTAATTGAACCTTCAATATCATGATCATGTGTTAACAATATTCTCCAAGACATGTGAAAAAAATTATATAGAAATTAGTTAGATTAAAATTATAGATTAAATTATATACTATAAATTTTAAAAAATAAATATGTAGACATTTAACCTCATCATTGAAACAATTAAATGATTAGATAATTTAAATTAATAATTAAAATAAACAATAAAAAATAAGAATAACTTTTATTAAATAAATAAAATTTAATTATTTATTATCTTGTTACATGTGACCAACTTTATACACAATAAGTGTCTTTAAAGTAAGTTCATGGACCTAGAATGATGAGGACTTAAAAATTCACCTCATTTGATAAATGCAAATTCTAAAGTTACAGTTGAAATTGAGATTATCAAAACATCCTTAACATTTTTTTTTTGTTGCAAAAATGGATACTTGATTCCATTTATTTTTCACCATCCAACAATGTCAAAAGTAGCACTCCTAGACAAAACTTTTTCTTCCAAGTAAAGTTATATTTTAGACTTTAATCACTACAAAATTGCTAATATTTAGATTATCCAAGTTTGACTAATTGATATTTGCTCGCGAAGTTGAACTTTCTACCATTTCCTTAGCTTTATTTTGATACTCTTCGAATAATGAATAACATAACTTATAGGGGTGGGCAACGAGCGGTTTCGGTCGGATTCAGGTGAAAAATGTTCAATCCATTGTAAACCGACTTTGAAAAAATGTGACCCATATCCGACCGATTGAGCTTTCAATTTGAGGCGGTTTGAGTTGAAACAGATTCAGATTTGAGTGGGTGGGTACAATCGAGTTTGAGGTTTTTTGTAGACCAAGTTATTTCAACAAAGGTGAAGCTTAAAATGGTAAAAAAAACATTTTCAAAATAGTGTACAAAAATATAATGAAGGTGACAATAAATGGTATAGGTATATTCGTAGATGAAACATTCACAAACTAGATAAACAAAAATAAAAGATAACAAAATCCATAGTTGTTACATGCAAGAGAAATATAAAGTTAGATAACAAAATTCATATGAAACCACAATCGCACAAGTTGTACTCAAAATAGAGACATGAAGATGGAAAAGAAAGACAAAGAAAGAAACAAAAAAAAACTCTAAAACTAGACTATGTGTTAAGAAGTTGAATGAGGAAGGAGAAGACAAAATAAGTATCTAGGTTATGAGAAAAAGGAAAAAAAATAAGTTACAAATTGATGGTTGTATTATATTTGAAATAAAATTTTTTGATTTTGGGTCATTGTTATTTAGTTAAACAAAAGTAATAAAATTCTAAGTATAGTTCGAATAATTTTCAGTCAAGAATAAGAAGTATGTTCGAAAGAGTATATCGATAGTATGTCTGAATACCTTTATCCTTTAATAGCTTTGGCAGTTTTCACAGCTAGAATGAGTTGCGATTAAAAAAATAGGCAGGAGAAATAAAAGATGGTGATGTGAGTTTCAAACAAGTCATTGTAATATTAATTATTAGAAAAGAAATTCTCAAAATCTTTTCATCTTCATACACTACTATTAGGAAAGGCCTTATCCTAACTAATTGTTATAGTACAATTGCATTGAATATGGAAAGGTTTCTAAAATAAAAGATTATAAAAATATATTAGCTATTTCTAAATTTAATGCCAATAATGTAAGATCGATCCCTAATTTTGAGTAGCGAACTAGGTTTTAAAGAAATTACGCTTTATGATCACATCCAACGCAGTAATTGCTTGAGGATGCCATATACAACATTAATTAGGGTTTTCCCAACATTTGAAATTTATAAGAGTGAAATAATAAAATCCAAGTAGGTATATATATCTGCAACCACTCTACATCCACTTAATTAATTATTCAATCGAAAACATTAAAACTAAATTAAGTAGACATCATTTCAATGTGTGCTAAGAACATGCAATAATATATATGTTTGCCCCATGAATGCATCCATAACATAAAACATTGCACAAACATTGTATAAACATAAATTGAAACTTTTGCACGCTTGGTATTAATATTATTCCTTTTCTTTGTCATTCGACACAATATTGAAGTCAAACCTTCACGAATCATCCCCTTCTACTTATGACATGATCTCATACTTATATCTCTCTTCAATGTGAGAGCCTTTTTCACAACTTTAGAGATAGGAAGTGACAATACTCAACCTATCTTTAAAGAGGGTACCTCAAGTATTTTCCATGCATTTCTTTTTCTAATAAAAGAATATTGGTCATCCATCGACGTTCGAAAATGTTACTTGGCCATTAATTAATTGCGCCCAAATTGTCGTTTGGTTATAAACAAACACAACTTTGCCAATATAACGACGTCTTGAGAGAACAATTAGAATTTAGGTATATATAATTAAAGCTAAAACATACTTGTGACCTATTAATTATTATTCAAATTAGTTTTGGTCCTTTGTTTTTTCTTTTTTTAAAGAAAGTTTCACTTTGCTCATTTAACTTTGAAATTTGAGTTAAGGTTTTTGTTCCGAAACAAATACGATTTTGAATTTTTGGATGCAATGTTCAACACCTCTTTAGACTGATTCAAGGCGTGAAATTTTTACTATGAGATTCAACACCAAAATTAAATAATATTGTGACGTAACTAATGTTCGAACAAAAGAGAGAGATAAGCATGGTGAAAGTTGCATCAAGCATGAGGCTTAGAAGCAAATAAAAAACTAAAAAGTATTTTATGAGTTTCTTTCCCAATAGCCTACAGGCTAGCTCTTTACGTGATTTTCATAATATTTATGTCCTTTTATTAATCTGGACTTCAATTGGGTTTCTTAGTTTTCATGCTGGTGAAACTGATGGAACATGATTTATGTCTTTAATCAGTCAAAAGACGAGTTTCATATTTTAGTTCTCATTTTATTTCAACATTGAATGGTTAGATATCTTTTGAATCCCTGTAAATATGTTATGTTATACATTTAGTATGTGTAATGTATTTTTCGTTGATACAATTATTGATGTTGCGACAACTTTGATATGACAATATACATGTGACAACCTTGATGACATGACATCATCCACAACGAATGTTGTTAGTCACGTTATACGAAAATCTTATCATTCAAAAATATATAAAAACCATAATCATCCAATAATTAATTACGTCTTGTTCATTGAGGAATACAAAATCTTTATTCTATCATGGTTTTGCTTGTGTCATCATTGGTTACAAAAACATGTATAAAATGCATAGACAAAACCTAGTTTTATTAATTTTTCCCAATGCTTCCTTTCTTTCTAAGCTATCTTGAAAGGAGGGGATTTGAGTGAAGGATTAGCAAAAGGGCCCTCAACTATTCCCTTTGCTATTAGCCTATATGCTGCTTCGGTAAAATGGGGTCCATCCCAATTTATGCGTTTTGAAGGGTCTGAACAAACCATTGAGGCAACACTTCCACAATATATTTGTTCACTAAGACCGTAAGGCTCCCCCATTCCACAACATGCTCTGAAAGTCTCGATTTTACCAGAAGAAAAACCTATATTAAAAATAATTAATGGACACGATCAGAATAAACCATAGAATAACTAACAATCACATGCAACTATACATTATTGATCTAATAAAAAGAAATAAAAACACAACCCACCATATTGTTGTGGTGCTTGAAATAAACGCTTAGCAGCACCGTAGTAATCAAAATATGTTATCTTAACATGTGGATTTTTTTGTCTTAATGTCTCGATAGCCTTTTTGAGTTGTCCATTATAGTACTCGATGAAAGCATTATAAGCTTCCAAACACCCAAATTGATCATAGTCTTCCTTCCTATCACTGCCCACCCTTGCCAAAATAGCAGAATTGCACCCAATTGGAAAGTTTCCCGGTACCACTAGCTTTACTGCTCCTTCCTTTATTAATTTCTGGCGAATAGAAAGAAAAATAAGATTCAATTTCTAATCAACCATATTTCAAACCCAAGTTTAATTAAACTATTAAAATTGGAGTTGACATAAGTTTGCTATAACATACGGTGATGGCATTAGTAATTGCTTTAACAATAAGTGGAACCATTTCTCGAAGTGCTGTCATATTTTTATACGGGATGATTGCGTTAATGTCGTTGCCACCAATCTCTCCCACCAGAAACAATGTGTTTTTGAAGTAACTATCACACTCTGTCATAAAAAGGGGTACACGTTATTTACATTGAACAAATTTTCAAATGTTTGACAAAAACATTCACAAAGGAGTTTAATTGGGTAAGACCTTTGCTTTTACAAAGGGAGGGTTTGAGCTTCTTAAACCATTCAAGTTGAGTACTTAAAGAATAAGAAGCTGCGTCTAGTTCCAACATTTGTTGCATGAAAAAATTCTTATCTAGTGCAGTTGAACCGGCATATGCAAAATTTACTCCTTTGGTAATGTCTTGTCCTTCGGTAAGGTTCAAGTAGGGTGGCAACATTGGCAACCCATATGCCTCGGCTAAAATTAAAATGACCACAAGTTAGTCTAATCATCAATATGTGGTTGTTAAGATCTAATGTTTCATATACTCCCTTTGTGCAAGAAAATTTTATTTAAGATGTCTAAAAAAAAGGGAGTACAAAATACCTATGAAATCAATGATGAGTCGTCCATTTGACATACGCCCAGATGGATGATTAAAGTATGTTGAACCATAAGGACTATTGCTAGGCATAGCTGGGTTGTAAGTAGCAGCATTCCCCGTGTCACTTATAGAGTCACCAAAATTGAAAATGGCGTCATATGGGAGATGATTGGCATTTGAAAAACCATTTCCAAGGAAACCATAAGCGAATGTTAGGCTAAAGAGAATCAAGATCTTCATGATGTTGCTCTAATCCAAGACAGACCAATAAAGTTATTTGTGATGATGTGTGCTTAGATATTGTAATTGAGTACTTTATATAATGTAGCATCAGGCAACCTGTTGTTTTGTCATATAACTGTCATTTTTTATTTTGACATGGTTATAACTATTATGATTCTTAAAAAGGTGAGTCATGAGTTGTAATATAAGATAATTATTTAACAAAAACTTGTCTTTGCATATGAGCTTGTCATTCCCTATCAATGCTATATTTTGTATTTTCTTTTTTTTGCGTTATCTTTGAATATCTTTCATATAGTTAAATTCCTATAATAAGATCTACACATTGCAAACATCGATGGTAGAAATTTCTATTCCTCAATTAACTTTTTTCGTTGTTGTGTTGTAATTCTATTTTAAAATAAGGTTTTTCCAACACACACATATAACTCAATTTGTGTCACTTTAAAATAAAGGGTGAAGTCTTTCCAACTTATGTAATATAACCACATAACATTTATTTTAATTGTTGATTTAACGGTAAACAAAAGTGACACTAAAAAGTTAGATCTAAATATGAAAAAATTATTCAAGGAACATAAGTTTAGAAGACAAAACTAGTATGTTGACTAGTACATTTGTAGTAGTCATAATTTCTTAAACACGTATTAAAAAGGTATCTAAATTTAGCAATTACCAACATTTACTCATTTATTTATATTTTAAAATAATATTCTCGTGAAATTGATTTATGTATCTTATTTTTCCATTATTTATTTTGTAGTCAATTTAAGAATGATTCTCTCAAAAGAAAAATTAAAAAGGTACCCATCCTCTAGGAAAAAAATATACGAAACTAAGAAAACATAAAATAATTGTAAATAAAGTAATTAATGAAATAAAATAGAACATCTTTCGGAAGAATGAGAGCTAATGAATGTATTAAATAATGTGTATATAAAAAAGTAAGATGTGTAAATGAAAAATGTTAGGTTATTTCTAATTTGAGTATATAGATGCCATATCTTTTCAGCAGCTTCGAAAAAAATTGCAATTCAATTGAAAAAAGTAATAATAATTTATTTATTCCATTTGCAAATATTACAACTATATTATTAAACATTGAGATAACTTAAGTGAACACAATACTCTATCACATAGTGTCTAGTTTAAATTTTATTGAAAAGTAAAATAATCATGAGTTGTGAGTCCCACAAAAAAAATATATATAGTTCGAATAAATTTTATTTCATTTTCGGTTGAGTTTGATTTTTAGTGGGTTTAAAAATTTAAAATCAAACTCGTATGATATTATCCGTATAAAATCAAAATTTTAACTCGTTTTACCCATAAAATCCACCCGAACCCACCCAAAAGTAATATTTTTTATCAAATTTTTTGGGTTCGGTTCGGGTCTCGATTTTATGCTCACCCCTAATAATTTCTTGATATTATTTATTTTAATTGAAGTTGAACTATCATAAAATTTAGAAAAAAAGTACTCCAACAATTTTAACTTGTATCTTGGATATAAAATAATAATAATATTATCTATATATATATATATCTAGAGAGAGAGAGAGAGAGAGAGAGAGAGAGAG